GAATCCTCGTCTCTATCGTCGATGGTGGACAAAGGAGACAAGCAAGAAACAAAACAAAGTGAAAAAGTTAACCAAAAAACGAAAAAAGAAGGCCACGAAATGAAGCCGAAAAAAGATGAGGGGGCCAACCCGGAATCGAACCGGGGACCTCTGTCAACTTAGAGTGCATCCTCTGGAAAGGAGGTGATTACCCTAAGACAGCATAATAAGCCACTATACGATTGGCCCGCTTCCATGTTTGCTGGAAACAGTATTGCTTGGATATAGCATGCACACCTGCGGCTCAATGGTATCTTGCAACATAGGTTCCTATGAGCCATGGAAACGACAGAGCTAGACAGTCTCTAGGCAGAGAAACACCCAGAGAAGAAGCGAGCAAGTTACGCCAGCTGCCGAGTCTAGCGCATCGGTCAATTTGAACGCCTTGGACGGGTCGACGAGCCCTAGTCGTGTGACCCTTTACCGAGTCAGCCCTTGCTCGCATAGATTTGCGATGGAGCTAGCGACACAGCACCTTGAAGCTGGCCCGCGCCGAGAGACGGATGTCAGCGAGCACACACTCACGCTGATGACCAGCAAGGAGTATCCGGTACTAATCAGATTTTAGTGGCATGCACGAAAGGAGACCGAAACTGAGATGAGCTAGCCGAGATCAAGAGAGAGAGAGAGAAGATGAGAAAAAAGAGGGGCAAGCGACGACAGCCGGCGTGTCGAACTTGTTTTTGCAGGAGCCATCTGATTGCCTTTTCGGTAGGCCAATCAGATGAGTTGGCCGGGCCCATTGAAGCATTGCACTGCTGCTGCTGCTGCTGCTGCTGGCGGTTGTGCAAGCCACACACTAACAAACTAGAGCTGCATATCCGTCGCCGGCCAGCTCAGATTGAGCGGATCATGTAAGGGGGAGGCCAGTAGAAGCGTTGCTACAGGATTGCTTGCCGACGTGTGCGAGGCTGGTTGCATTGGCGAATGGTTGGCTGTGTTACACGCGCGCTCTCTTGGCGGTCATGAGCTGGTTTAGGGTGCGGTTGCGTTGTCACGGCGACATTGAGAAACAGAATTGCTGGCAGATGGTGCAGCCCTCTGGTTGCAACCGACACAGCTACGGACACTCGACTGGGCAATGAGGAGAATGTGCGGACCGTCTTCCGATCAATAGGGCCACAGACAGCTCGCATCGACGCTATTGTCCTGCATCGCCAGCCATCGGAGACGCACAGCGCTTCTACGGAAGGCAAGATTCTCACCACTTGATGCACATGCGGCTGCAGTTCATGTTGGACGTTCGCTTAGATGCTCTCTCGGCTGTAGCTCAAGAGTTTGCTTTCGAGAAGTGTTGAAAAGACTCGGCTAAGTACGATCGCCTTGGATTGTTCCCCTAGTGCCACCTGGCCGAATCGGACGGAACAAACGGGACCACGACAAACATCGGAAGCGCAGCCAGCCGGACGTCGAGCTCAAAAACGTAGCAATTCTTGGCTTTTCAAGCACCGACGACACGCCGGTGGTGTGTCTCGCGTAGCAAAGAGCTGCACCAAAAAAAGACTGGGCGAGCAGACGACTGCTACGACGCTTTGACGTGAGAAAGAGCGCGGGTCTGACGGCGTACGAGCTGCTCCTGACACGCATGGCCGATGTCCGTGTCATTCTGATGCAGATTCGCCGATGCATCGCCATGCGGTCGGGACGGCATACTGTACCACGCCATTTGGACTAGTGAGCGTCAAGGCGGGGTTTGGAGAAGGGGAGCCGAGCAATGGTAGCCCCGCCACTTTTTCGCTCCAAGTTAGCTCGACCGTCGGTCACCGCTTTTTTGCAGGCGCTCGAGACGCTTAACGTGCTTCAGCGACCGACCAAAGACCGAGACGAGAGAGAAGCAACGGTGACAGCGGGGGGTGACACGAGCTTCGACGCGCTCGACTGGTGAGCGATGTTCGAGTCCAGCAAAAGAGGGGCTGATCCGAGACACTGGATCCACTCTTACCACTCTTGTCTCGGCTTGGATCCACAAACAGAACCGACGCCGCGTGAAAGCGCCACGCAGAGAGCATTGGGAACAGTGAGATTGCCAGGTACCGGCGCGCACATGGCCGAGCGCCCACTCTTGGATGGTGTTGGCTGCTCCTTGAAGCAGCGAGCATGATGCGATGTGAGTCTGAGATGCACGATTCAACCCGGACGAGCACGAGCCGAGTTGGATTCATCGTTTGGTTCCCACGGTGATGATTCGTCGAGCCGAGCAGCAGACCAGGCGCTTATCTGGCCGGATCTCGTCGACACTGGGGAGCATTGTCGATTTTTGATTCGACCTCGTCTTGACAGAAGCGAGCTGCACTGCCTGGCGGCTGGGCTTGAATCTGTCAGAGAAGAAGCCGACTTTTTTTTCTTTCTCTCTCATGCTTCTGTGACGATCCGCTTGTCTGTCGTGACGGTCAGCACAATCATGCTCGTGGGCCAACGCAGTGCAATGCGTCTGTGCGGAAACAAAGCAAGCGGAGCATTGGCTGCAGTGGTTGCAGCAGGGATGAGCGTTCATTTACCAGCACGCCTGGCTGCATCGGTTGCCATGACACTTAGGGGTCATCACTGGCCTTGGTCCGATTGGATTTGCATTCTGGCAAGACGACCGATCAACCAAACCACCAGCTACAGCAAGCTTTTGCTTCTTTTGCATATGTGTGGAGACGCTCGAAGGTTACCGTAGACCTTGGCAAGAATGAGCATCTCTCCTACTGCCAGCGAGCACCGCCTCTTGCCGACCACATCGAAGCCGTTTCAGTCCACTGCGAGAGAAGGAAGCTAGAGCCACGCGCAAATGCCCGCCTTGAAGAAACAAGCTAAGCACACGCTCGAAAGGTGACAGTAGTGAGACAAGACGAGTTGGTCGAGATGATCTTGCCCACGTAACCCCTGTACACTGTGCAAGTGCCCTCTCGTGCATGGTCCGGAGCAGCGTTGGATTTTTCGGTCTTCTTTTTCATTTTTTTTTTTTTTTTTTTTAAAGGGTCTCGGTTGGCGTTCTGTCGCGGTGTGTGTCTCTGTGCGCGTTGCAAGGTCAAAGCGTGACAACAGCACAAGGTCCCTC